GCTTATTTGTTTGAATTACACTATCTTTTTTTTAAAGTATGAAGCTATGCTATCTACTATTTAAGGTAATTATTATTTCTTTAAATTTATTATAATTTCCCATTCCTATAGACTCTGGGCAGCTAACAAATACAAATGCAAAATAGGGAAAATCATTTAAAAAATACAAACATATAGTTAAAGCGATCTGGAGCATACCAACTCTGCCAGAACATACTAGGGAAGCAGAAATTATTGGAGATAGGTGGTTCCTCAGGTATCCAAGCCCCCTGCCATAAAGGGCTTTGTAGATAACAACTAACACCTTGAATTGCACCCAGAAACCAACTGGTAACCAATGCAGTTAACACACCAGTGAGTACAATAGGCATACTAAGAGGTGCCCATTAACACTTCCAGTTTCATTTTGTAACATTTGTAGCTTCTGATTGTCTTCAAGGGCAGTCTCGTGTAGAGTGCATTTCAGTAATCCAGTTGTGGAATGCAGAGTAGAACAGTATATGTAATCACCTCCACATAAAGGCTGAATTACTTTTATTGAGATTAGCTATCAGAATCTCATAAATCTGGTACCTCTTATCCCTTATACTTTTAATGAATCAAGGCATTTACCTAAGAAGCTTCCAACTGTTATCTCTGGTCTGCAGTTAAAAAGTTATTCCTTGCACCTTGTTAATGGAGCTTATATATTTCCATTCTGTTCTTCCTTATTTATTGCATATTAGTAGTACACATTGTATTTGTGCTATATAGTCTTCTATTGTTCATAAGAACAAAAAAGTATAAGACTGGAACATTTAGTTTAATTAAATAACTTCTTTTTATGGGCATATAAGCTTATACTATGAGATTCTTATAGATAATTTGTTAAATTTTATTTTTTCTAGGATGAAATCTTTGATATGGTAAAACCTAAGGATCCTTACAAGATTTCTCTTCAAGATTTAATCAATAGTAGTCAAGGAGACACAGTCACCAGTATTTTAATTGATCTTAATGGCTTCTGGACTTATGAAAACAGAGAAGTTCTTGTGGCCAGTGATAATGACAGTACAACAGATCTTCTTGATACATGATTTAACAGTAATAGATTGTATTATTGGAGATATGCCCAACTGATACAGTGACTGCTTGAGGCTGAATAGCAAATTCATTGCACATTTCACTGAAGTTTCCATCTAACTCTAGATGGACATCTTTAAAAAAAATGGAAGGAACTTCACTTTGTTTCTCTCTGTGTGTAATTACAAATGTTCAACCTAATTCTGGAAATTAACAAGTAAATAGTACCTGTCAATTGGCCATATTGATGAAGTCAAATAACAGTAATTTCCACAGAAGACTAATATATCAAGCAGCTATGTGTATAAGTCAGCCTCCCCAACCAGTTGTCATTCAGAAGTGTTGAATTTAGTTGTAACAATATGGCGCTGTTATCTGTTTAGATCCCATGTTAACGAATGTTGGTATAAAATTTCAAAAATACAAACCATGGTAAGTTAAAATGCTTGGATAATAATCAGGTATGTATTGTCATTTTGCCCGTACTGGGTGCAGTTTTTTAAACTAGTCTTAAGCTTATTATGTTCTAACTAAATTTCCCTGAGTTTAACAATGAGTGACACAAATCTAAGACTGGGTAAAGCACTGTTATGAAATGTAAAATGATGGTGCATAAATAAGCTAGAAGTATAGCATGTTTTGCAAACACACTGGAAACCTTGAGTGTCTAAATATGTAATAGCAATAAACAGAATTCAGTTTTTTAAAAAAGACTGTTGTTAATTTTATGCAACTGATCAAATCCTGCTAAACTCAGTGCAGATTAGATCTTATAATCGGTTCCATAGGAAGAACATTATGGCACTGTTTTGCTCCCAATATCAGATATCTAACATCAATTGTCAGTCGTGTAACATCATCCATGGACTCAACTATTATTATAATTATTTTAAATATACATTTTAATGCATTTACAAGAAAAGAAACATCTCATTTGTAAATTCTAAAAAAAATATTAAAAGGTAAGGCACAATGACTAAAAGAACCTCATAACAAACCCTTCCTTATTCATTATTGTAGGAACATGTCTGACTAGCAAAAATTAGAGCAATGCAATCAGTTTATTAACTATGTTGCCTTAGAATTTTTTATATCCTGTACAGTGATTTGAATAATTGTGTTACACATTTTATAGCCAACAACTATATCATTTTGTAATCCAAAATGAATGCATATATGGAGAGAAAATTGTCCAAACATTTTAAAAAGTACCAAATGAGCAGTATACCAGATGAGATTTCTCTCGCTCAGATGACAATAAAGGCAAAATCATATATTCTTTATCTTTGCCATTTTATCCACTCTTTTAGTACTATATGATGTATTGGTAGTTTTTTTTTTTTAATTTCAGCTAAATTTGTACAAACGTATATGTTTAAGAAGAGACTGAAGGGGCAATGTAAACTACTGAAGTCATTACATCCAGAAAGTGCTTAGGGAGCAGAACAACTTTGCTGAATACATCCCGTTATGCTACATGCACACAATCCATTCAGCTCTGATCTCTATAAACTTCATGTAGCAGATGTTTATGGATTGTCCTACAGAAAATTTCCATTTACAGTAGATTTTCAGTGTTTCTTAGGATGAGTAAGTTTTTAGTTTGAAAATTCACAATTGTCATAGGTGGTTCTTCCTATTAAAAATAAATATTTTCAAGATGTTAAATTTTACATGTGATTGACTTCAGTTTTTAAGGTCAGAATAATGACAGGTACATGTATGAAACTATGAACATACAGTACTAATAATTCATCATACTTCACAAAACAGCACATTCATTTAAAATTTTGCTCAGTGTTTACATTCAACAATAATTCATCTAATATTGATATAGAGTAAGCATCAACTCTTTGGAATAGTGGAATTCTTTTCTCACATTTTGTTAAGCCTGAGATTTAATATCAACCAACCGACACTCTTTAGACCCTTCTTTGTTGGACCTGCAACACATACCCTTTATCAATTTTTAGATGAATTTTAAGAGCATTATTTAGCAAATATTAACAAAACCACATGAATTAGATGACTGCTGGACATTCATATAAACATGTGCAACAGTGCAATTAGACTAAATCACAAAGGTATTTATTTTCCAGTTAGTTTAAAATTTTCACCAGCTTTCAGTAAGTAACATTATAAAAACAAAATAGACTTTTAAATAAAAAGAAACATAGTTATCAGTCCATAACTATCATGAAGGCACCAGGTGCTCGGGAAAGATCTTTTACTTCTGCATAGAAAGATCAAAATAGAACCTATTTATTTCCATTTTATAATAGGTGAAATAAATATCTTGGTCTTTATTAGACAGAGATGGATTGAAGAAACTGTAATATTAATACTCTCTCATGGCCATATTTTAAAATACATGCCACTAAACATGCAAAAAAGGACCAATGAATGTTTGGCAATTCAAGAATTTTTACCATATGTCATTCTAAGCAGACACTACAGTAAAATCACGTTTACTTTCTACAACAGACTGCTGTTCTCCGTCACTTTCAAAATTTAGATTCATGAATGTACTACAGGCTGTATCCCTTGGCTGGGCTGTCTGAATAGCCATTCCTTCTTGGCTCTGTTTCTGTTCCTGAAATCTCCTTTCCGCTTCCTCTGACAATTTGTTTTCTTCCTCTTCTTCCTCCTCCTAAAAGAATCGGTATATTTTACAATAGGTTACTTCTCAACAAGCTTTAATCCTATCAAATCCTTTAAAATACGCATCAGTGTTGCAATCTATTGTAAATGCTCTTTCAAAAAATGCCCAGAATTGGAGGTCAGAAAGTGTGTCTGAAGCTAGGCTGGTAATTGATGATGCAAGATACAGAATTCATATGAGGCCTCACTGAATGAAACTGTCTGTTTCATATCTGAAAATGCATCTGCTATTGAAAAAAACAAACTTCTGGCAGGAATTCCATTTCACTCACACTCTTTCACTGTGGCTTTAACTTTTAAATGCTTTCAGTATTCATTTAATTATAAATTTTAAATTAATGTGTATTTTCCTTTTGATTTTAAACTCTTACCTCTGAGTGTTTATCAAAGCAGAAAGGTTATAGTAGAAATGAAATGAGAAGACGAGAGGAAGGGGAAGTAGAGAAGGATGACAGAGGGAAGAAAGGAGGTTGGGGGGGGAAGAAAGGAAGAAGAAAGTGATGGATAAGGTACAAATATGGTGTATGGAGAGCAGAAGAGCCAATACTTGTTTTGGGGAGTTGATAGATGAATCGATGTATACATTTAATAATACAATATGATGTTGGCTATATAATAGTATACATGTGATTATATGTTATAAAAATGAAAAAAATAAAAACTTTATAAAAAATGAAATGAAATAATATTGGAAGACTTTCACTGTTCAACCAAAAACATTCCAATATTGAATGAAATGATAATACAACTGTCATGGTTGTCAGCACAAATACTGACAAGATCAAAAGTGTCTCTAAAATGGCATCTGCACAAACCATTCTGGGTTTGAAATAGCTGTTTATTCCTCTTCAATAGATGTGGGTCATACCCAAACTAAGCATGCAACCAAACATTCTAAGCAGAAGTGTTTAGAGGGGAAGGGGAGTAAGAATAGGAAAAAGCAATGGTTACGGAAGGTGGCGGAAGAAAGTGAAAAGAAAGTGAAATTATTGCAAAGATGGGTGTTGAGATCTGCCACATTGAAAATTCTTAGCAACAGCTGAGAGGATGGAGGAGAATGAAAAAAGGGGTGGGGTTAGATCAGTGGAACATGCTGCATTTATATCTGCTGCAGGAAAAGAAGGGGTGATGCAAACCAGCTTTGCCCTACTTGCTCAGTAAATCCCGCCATGATGCCTGGGAATTTTGTTTTATCTTAAACTCTAAGCAACAAAATGCCCTGGCTTTTATTGCTGGCAAATCACAGCTCAAGCAGAATGATTCTGTAGCAGCAACTGCTCTGTGCTTCTTTCTGTTTTGAAACAAACATCATCTGTGTACATTCCTACTGTGAAGCAATTAAATTAATAGTATTATTTACAGAAAAAGATTTTGCAACATCTATGCTGCTAAAAGGATTGGTTTTTTAAAAAAGCATACCTCCTTTTTCATTCTGTAGTATTCATCTATGGCATATTGGTATTTTGGTGTACTGATGCCCAAAACAGAGGCAATCTTTTCACCAAGGAAGTCGCACACTGAATAAATGAAATAAATATGTTATGAATAATCCAGATTAATTATTGAGTATAGTTTCAATCAACGCTCGGGGAACACTTTCACAATGAGAACTTTTAGACAACCACACAAAATCAACATTTTATGAGCACATTATAGTCATTCCCATAACATGATAGCCATGATGGGAATTATTAGCCATGAAATACCAATTTAGCAGAATGTGAGGCACTTAATTATTCAGGCACTCAAATGATACAGCTATGTATTTTCAGGGCAGATGGTACATTTCCAAAGGAAACTGGATTGTAACTCCTACTATTTCTTGTTTCTTAATAATGCCTATGTTGCTTTATGATGCCCTGAGGCATTTCTTTAATTTGGGGGAAAATAAACATTTTTGTGACTAGTGCAGTATACCTCATGATCACCTGAGTAGTGCAAATTTCTTGGAACTGTTGAAAAGGACTGTGTTGTATACTGGAGATAGATGGTGTCGTATCCCTCCTCATCTGCATTTAAAAAACAAGGGCCATTCTTGAAAGCAAAGTCTACATTTTGGATAGAGGACTGCTGGTTTGAAAGAAGGGTCAAAAAGGCTATGTCAAAATTAAACAGTGTTCTCTCAACATTTGCACTACACGGGTGACCCTGAGGATACAGATCAACCTACAAGTGGCCTCTGACTCTCAAAAAGAATGCAAATGACCAGCTGTCTGCAAGGAATATAAATCCTTCCATTCTCCACCATCCAGCCAGAGCTTGGATGAGAAGTGAAAAGTCTTCAAAGAAAAACAAGAGTCTAGTTGCCTCTTGGAAAAAGCACCTTTGGGACAACCATGACCTTGATGACTGAGAATTAAGAAATTCTGACCTTCGGGTTTTGTTTTGAATATCAGATCTGAATAGAGTACACCTCATAAACCTTTTACCCAAAAAGTAAATTGGGACTCAGAACTTATTCCTGATCTAGTGTAAATTATCCAATGAACTTTTAGAATGATCTGATTTTACTTCTATCTTTCTCAATTTCAAACAACTAATGAAGCAAAACAGATGGTATATTTACAGGAACTGAAGGGTAGATTTCACTGAAATATTTTTTCACCCCAATGTACAATTTACTCGTGCCAGTTTATGATGAACAGTAGGCATTGAAAAGTGCAGACTGAAAGGATTGTTTTATAATCTGCTTCAATTTATTCTATGAAGACAAATAGCATTTAATGCCAATTTTAAACTTCAGTGAACACTGAACAGGCCTGGTGACTAAGGNGTAAATCTAGAATTTATTTTATAATGGTTACCAATTTCTGCCTATGTCTGGGCCAAGCTTTTAATAATCTTTTTTCTAATATCTTCTTAGACATGTACAATAGCTTGTCTCTTTTGCAATTCTAAAAAGCCAAATTACCTAATTCTTTTTCAACTCTTTAGAACTTCTGTTTTACTGTCTAAAATTTCCACTTTATGTTGATTTGACTTGCTATATAGAACTTTACATCTTATTGTTTCATCTTTTTCACCTTTAAAAGTCCTTCATCCATTCTTTTTTCAAAAGCTTATTTTCCATTTGTTCAAACAATTTCTGAAACAAATCCTGTATAACTATTTTCTCTGGAGGCTGCCATAACAATCTACTCCTACACCCTCCTGATGTTTTTCTTGTAAATGCCATTATGTTATTATAATTCAAAAGTGAGAGTATCTCAAACAACAAAAGGAAAAGGTACGTTTCTCTTTTACTTCACTTTCTCTGTAAATTCAAGCTGCAACATTTCATATCACCATAGCAACAAAAGTCACTACTTTATTACAAGTAGTCCTCAACGTATGTCCTTAATGGACATTATAGTCACAAGCTGTGATTGTCATTGAATGAGACACCATGATCATCTTGCTTAATGACCACCATACCCGCTCTTCCCAGTGCGGTCATTAAGCAACTGTGTGTGTCGTTAAGCTGTCTCAAGGGTGTGAGAGATCATGGGAACCTAGCACAGGCTCAGGCTTCCGTGGAACATAGCATGCCTCAAAGGCCTCCCCATAAGCTAATTGAAAAACCTTCCATTTCTGCAATTTATTCATGAGGAGCAGCCAGCTGGAATGCTTGTGGGTTATTTCATGACCTCTCTTTGGTCCAGGGAGATTTTGCAGAGCAACATCTATTTTCCAGCCTGTATTCTCGGTAGAGGCATCTCTCCTTTTCTTTGAAGATGTCAGCCTGACATTCCTTATCAAAAACCTCTATATAGTAATCTAATAAACCTTGAGGTTTTGTCACCAAACCTGTTATTTTTTCTTTGGATGCTATTGGTTATACTTTGCATCAGTACAAACAAATCTTAATGGGCAGAATAGCCGAATAGCTTAATCAGGACTGAACAAATTCAGTGAGTGCAAATAACCAGAGCAGATTAAAATGTGGTAGTACACAGAAAGTCTTGGAATGTAACTTTCTGAACATGGCTTGCTGACTATGAGGTCTCACTGGTAAATACCAGTGCTCCTACATCTTTTTTTTTAATTACATGGGTTTCTCACATTCCTAACAGATCTTTATAAATTTCTCAAGGAAAAATTCCTTTTCTGTTCATGTGTTGAAAATTAGAGGGTTTTTTTACTCTAGAAATCTAAAATGTTATGGCATATGTTTATACTATGAAACTTGTATAATAAGCAAGCTATATTCATCTTTTCTCATTATCTTTTAACTACAAAATGGTAGAGAAAATGCATTTCTCCCTTTCATATTTCCCCCTTTTCCCCATCCTCTGTAGGCCAATATTTGAATCTTGACAAAGATCACAACGGCATGCTTAGCAAAGAAGAATTGTCTCGATATGGAACAGGGACACTAACCAACATCTTTTTGGATCGGGTCTTCCAGGAGTGTCTGACTTATGATGGAGAAATGGTATTCCCCTCATAGATAGCAGTAGTATACTGTGTTTCATGAAAGAATGTTTGTTTTTTAATTGAACTCCTGTAGTTTCTAAGATTGTAACATAAAATGCATATTAACTAAATAGAATGAAAGAAACATTCACTTTTCACTGGCAGCTGAAACCCACACATGGTATTTTTCATAACTGACTTTGCATTCTTAATGAGAAGAAGAAATCTCATTGTGAAGAGAGGACAGTGAGTTCTTCATTATTTCTCTTTTTCTGCCAAAACCAGGAACAGTGAACAATTTATAATCTGAAAGTAACTAACATGAATAATGTGTCTAAAGCAGAATATAGATTTTCCTTTTAATATATACCATACTTTTAATTTTCTAGATTCTTATTCTCCAAGAACACATCTTATAGATAATGATTGTGACATACAATGGATATCTACATGCTTTTTAGGAATTTTAAAATTGTATTCAGTTTCTGCTAAAAATGTATTCTAAGATCATATGAGACTAGAATCCGGTAGAAAGCTGCTGATCTCTTGCCATTAACAATAATAATTCTTAAATGCTAAAAAAATTATAGCAAATTTCCTTATCAATTTTCTAAAAAAGTCCTAACCTAATAACTGTTTAGCTTTCATCAGTGGAATGACAAGTAGCAATAGATTAATCTACTGTGTAGACATTTGTTTCTTTAATTTGAATTCTGGGCAGCTCCCTTGTAACATTGATAGAAATCTATGGGGATGTTGCTTAGCCAGTTAAAAAAAAGCAATTTCTGTTCACTTTTCCCTCCTTCAATGGCCATTTCTATTTCATGCTGACTTTCACTAAAAAGTAACTGCTCTCCTACAAGGAAATAGTCATCAATTATGGTTTGCTTGCAAAATCAATTTGAAAAGAGGACTATAATAAACATGATTGCATCTGCTTTTAGGACTATAAGACGTACTTGGACTTTGTACTTGCGTTAGAAAACAGAAAGGAACCTGCAGCTTTGCAGTATATTTTCAAATTGCTTGATATAGAGAACAAAGGATACCTGAATGTCTTTTCCCTTAATTATTTTTTTAGGGTAAGTCCCTTTTTGTAAAGGTAGGTCATTCTTTTGTACATGTGTTGTTGTAACCATTGTGCCTTTGCTTAGAAACCAGCTGATGATTACTTTAAAGTACCTCTATTTATTACAAGACTTTTGTCAAAATATAAACATTTAATATTTTACATTTAAAAAATTCAGAATTATTTTAAGAACATCTTACATTATAGTACCATATTGCTGTGCTTGTAATTAAATATGAGTTTTTCTTTTTAAACCCCCCCCCAATAAGTTCAGCTTTTTTGAGGAAAAAATTGCTAATAACCTCTAATGGTGAACAGAATATTTTTTTAGCTACTGCCATGATAGAAGAGCTTAAATTGCTGTCTAAATTATAGCTTTTAGTGTAAATTTTAAATTGTCCGTTCTGGGAAATAACAAAATTTACAGATGATGCTCATTAATCCCAGAAAAATAAGTACCGCGTTTTCCCGAAAATAAGACAGGGTCACTAGGTCAGTGAATGGCGCTCTGCCCAGCTGGAAAGGAGGTTTGCTGGGTGGCTGCTGTACCCGGCTCTTTGGGAGGCCGCTCACAAGAGAGCAGCCGCCCGGCAACCCCTCTCTTCAGCTGGGCACAGCGCTGTTCACCAACCTAGCGGTATCCCAAAGGCGCCAAGCAATGCGATCCCCTTTGCCTCCCCTCCGGTTCCTGTGGCTTGGCACCTTCGGGATACCGCTAGGTTGGTAATAGCAATAGCAATAGCAGTAGACTTATATACCGCTTCATAGG